AAGCCCATAACCCGTGACAGGAGTGATTGATTGATGAAGATTAAGCCACCCAAGAGGTGGCACGGACATGTAAGTGGTGGTCCTTTCGAGCCATTACTAGTATCAATAGATGATACTGGAGATCTATGGAGGTGCGACTGCACCCTGCGTGACGGGAGATGTTCTACCTGATGAAGATTTGATGAAGATTAAGTCACCCAAAAGGTGGCACGGGCATGAATAGCCCGTAAGTGGTGGCCCTTTTAAGCCATTACCAGTATCAAGAGCTGATACTGAAGATCTGTGGAGGTGCGAATGCACCCTGCATGACGGGAGATGTCTCCCTTGTGAATGTGTTAAGATGAAGATTAAGCCACCCAAGAGGTGGCACGGGCATGAATAGCTCGTAAGTGGTGGCCATTTTAAGCCATTACCAGTATCAAGAGATGATACTGAAGATCTGTGGAGGTGCGAATGCACCCTGCATGACGAGAGATGTCTCCCTTGTGAATGTGTTAAGATGAAGATGAAGCCACCCAAAAGGTGGCACGGGCATGAATAGCTCGTAAGTGGTGGCCCTTTTGAGCCATCACCAGTATCAATAGATGATACTGGAGATCTGTGGAGGTGCGACTGCACCCTGCGTGACGGGAGATGTTCTACCTATTGTCCAATCGTATTTATACCACTGGCCCGCTCGACCGCTGGAAGGTCAGGTACATACAGTTAAGTTAGGAGAAAGGCTAAAATAAGGAGTAAAGGTAATTTGTATGGGTCAATAAAGTAAACATGAAAAGGTAAGTATGGTGAATTGTCTAATGAGCCGGTCGGCCGAGCGGACAGCACGCTGGACTTGTGATCCTGTGGTCCTGGGTTCGATCCCAGGAGCCGGCGTGAAACAATGGGCAGAGTTTCTTTCACCCTATGCCCCTGTTACATAGCAGTAAAATAGGCACCTGGGTGTTAGTCAGCTGTCACGGGCTGCTTCCTGGGGGTAGAGACATGGTCGAGGACCGGGCCGCGGGGACACTAAAGCCCCGAAATCATCTCAAGATAACCTCAAGAAGGAAGGTGACCATAGTGCGCATGGTGTTTTAGGCACTGACGTCATCGTTGGCATCTTTGTGTTCAGGAGTTGGAACTTGCTTATGAAGTTGCTTTGTTGATGGTGATTGCAAACGCCAATCGAATTAGAAATTACAATCTCTTAAATTGCTCAATGGGGATGAAATCGTGAAGTCTGAATGTGAAATAAGTCTGAAAATCATGATTAGTAAGGTTCTTAAGCCATAAAGGCAATGCAAAAACGTTCACAATAAGGCAAATAGGATACTGGAATTTTCTAAAGTAGTGTCAGCAATATAACAACTACTGTTATCCCTCATATTTACGCTGGTCCTGCTAAACCATTATTTATAGTATACAACTAGCAGTACCCGCCACGCATTGCTGTGGCTCAGTCTGGTTAAATGGGAAAGAAAGAAAAGAGAAAGCGCAAATTTCTAATGTGTTGTATTTCACAATGCTTGTGGGTATACATTGTGGTTTTGTTGTTTCATTGTCTGTGGAGATATAGAGATTGTCTGGTTTGCCGACTCTATAACACGCAACATATAATTGTCCATGTGAGAAGTAATCCGTGTCTAGATATAAACTGCACGATTCTAAAGATTGGTCCTGAGCTTTGTTGATGGTGATTGCAAACGCCAATCGAATTAGAAATTACAATCTCTTAAATTGAAATGGCATATCTGTTGGAATCATAGGAATGCGAGGAATGAGGACATCTTCACCTTTGAAACGTCCTGTCAAGATTGTTGCTTCTACGACGTCGCTGATTATTTTTTTACTGCACGGTGCATGGCGTTGCAAAGTTTTGGCTGGTTGATATTTTTCAACATGATAATTGGCAAGCTGATTTTCAATTGCCGTACGTGTGATGGTCCGGCAATTGGTACGATCAACCCTGGCAGATCCAGTGAATTAAAAAATTCTGTTGGATAATTAACCGCTTCCACAACAGTGTCGACGGACTTGTATGCCTCGCTTTGAATGTTAGACTGAATAATATTGTTAAGGTCGAAGACGTTTTGTTCTTGGCCACTAGAATAGCTCGTTCACTCAGCCAATCGTGATTCTTATAATTGGTTTGAATATTGGGAAATACTTTTTCAACCAATTCTTCTTTTGACGTTTCTAAATTGCAGAAGTTATGAGACAATGAAATTCGTCCTGAGGTCAGAAAACCGGCACGTTTACATTCCCAATTTCCAGAAATTGATGTGAGAATATTTCAGCTGATGGATCGTTTTGTAGTAGCAACATAACTACACGCATATTTGTAGTTAATATAAATGTCTTTACGTGGCGCCACAAAGTAGAATATTTCAGGCAAGCATTTATTTCGTCCGCTGATGTCGATCGAGGAATTACAGGTAATAATTGCCTGAAATCTACTGCAAGCAATATTAATGCATTCCCAAATGGTCTTATGTTTCTACGCAAATCTTGCAATGATCGATCAAGAGCCTCGAGAGATTTATTGTGGGGCATTGTGCATTCATCCCAAACAATAAGTTTGCATTTCGGCAATACTTTTCCCATGCCGGAGGCTTTGGAAATGTTGCACGTGGGAGTTTCAATGAATTGCATGTTCAATGGCGATTTCAAAGCCGAAGTAGCAGTTCTTCCACCTGGTAGCAATGTCGCAGGAATTGAGGATGATGCAAGAGCTAAGGTTATGCCATTTTGGGATCGAAATGCTGCCAGAATTAATCTAATTAGGAAGATTTTACCAGTTCCTCCTGGCGCATCTAAGATTTCTCCAAGCCCGCTATTGACAGTTTGAATTATTTAATTGTTAATGCCTTTTCACACAAGAGTAAGCCTAGGAATATTTGACTAAACATACGACAACAGATCACCCATGTTGTAATTTTGTTTACAACGCAATTTTACACGAACGAAGCAGCAGCAGATCGATTCGGTGATGGCATTTCCAATTGATTGAGAAATTTGTTCGCGATTTCTAAGCACAAGTCTTCAATCATTATCAACGCTTCGTTGTAGACTTTTGCTGTAAAATACATGTTCATATTTGAATTTTCCTTGCGTAGTCGACGGATAATATCTTCAGCCATGTGCAATTTATATATCTCCCATAACTCTGTTACAGATAACAGAGAGCCGGTGGCCTATATGATTGCAAACAATGCACGAATTTGATTTGAATGTGACGTGTTGGACGCATCATTAATGCATACATTCCAGTGTCGGTCGTTCTCCAATAAATTCTGAGCTTTACATGCACTACAGAAAGTGGCATGTGTTACTTCTTTGACAAATCTCAATTGCTGGAAAGACGTTGGACCAGCACATTTACCAACAGAATGCGAAGAAAGAAGCATTCATCCTGATTAGGATGCACGGTGTACAGTCTGCATATCGTAATCTATTTGAATATGAAAGTTAGCCATCGAATCGCTCTCCTCGTTTGCGTTGTTCAAATAATTTTCTACTGGCATTCCACGTGTAGTACGTAGGCACTTCCGAATATAGCATTGTTTTCGCAAACACGTCATTTTGACATAATGTGAAGAAAGCAGTTAACGTTGTAGCCGGTTGATTCACAGCTGTTTGTTGCACATTTGCAGCTCTGAAATAAACGTGTTGTTCATTTTCGTGTTTTCAAAAAAAAAAAAAATACTAACGAAATATTTCAATTCAAACGCAGATCAATCGACACAGCTCAATTTTACCACCAATTGCACTGAAAAATAATAAGAACAGATATAAAAACGAAATGAAAAACAATGAAAAAAGAAACAATACCCACATAAATGAACGGTATGGTAAACAACACAGCACAATTTCAAAGCAATATCACACAAAATAATTAAATCAAAATGAAAATAAATAAAAATCTATGAAAATTCAATTTATCAATGCAATTGGGAACACTGAAATGGAATTGTAACATATTTTGTATAGCTTGTGTTGTCTTATGTGCAACAGATGGCGCTGTTAAAAAAAAAAAATTTCCTGTCTCAGGTGTGGCATCTAAATAGTAGGTATATAAAAACATGTACATATTCGAATGGAACGTTGTGTTAAAATTTCAAAGTATTCGTTAAAGAACTTTCGGAGATTAAAGCGTGTATTGCTCCTACGTCCTACACATGGCACTTTTAAAAAAAAAAAGCATGTTTTTTCCTGTCACAGGGGAAGCATGTATATAGTAGGTATATAAAAACACTCGCCTATGCCACTGCAATGTTGTATCAAAGTTTCAAAGCAATCGGTAAAGAGGTTTCGAAGATTTCCCTCACATGAAAAACCTATGAAAACACAGTTTAAAAAAAAAATGTTTTTTTCCCATCACAGACTTGATATCGATATAGTATGTATATAAAAACCCGCTCGGATGCAAATGCAATGTTGTATGAAAATTTTAAAGCAATCGGCGAAGAACTTTCGGAGATTAGCGATTTTGAACAAACGAACATTTCCATTTTTATTTATATAGATTATAATTTTGTTTACAATGCTGTAGACTGGTCATAAGTTCACATAAAAGAGTGAATAGATAACAAAGTTAATCCCGGAACCTAGAAAGCTTCCCTATGAAAAGGGATTAAGAGAGCTCAACATATATTCCATTTTAAGGGGAAGACTCAGGGTGACATTGGTGAAAGAGTGTATCAAAGAGGATAATAATAATTAGGGTTGTAAATATGTCATCACAAAATAGGAAACGACTCACTGGACATGAATTGAATTAGTATAAAGTGATGAATGACCTGAATAAATCCTGGCTTGGAGATAAAGTTGATCGATGGAAAAACTCATCAGGTAAATTAGTTCATGTGGGATAGCTTGCCTACTTCAATCATAGGCTGCAAATAGACTTTTCCTCTAATGGCTCTATCAATTAGCATACTGCAGTTTCCCTCCCTACTTATTAAGTTCTTATGGTGTAAAGTTATCAAAGAAGGATAGTCACAACAACCACAGAGACTAACCTTGACAATATATTGGAGTTATCACCTGAAGAGTCGTCACCACCACTATCATCCACCACCACTGCCAAAACGGGTGTCGAGAGTGACTGATCCACATCTTACTGACGTCAGTAGTACAGCTGAAATAATACCATATAAGTTACCACGCTGTATGTTGAACTCTTACTTATCGGGTGAAGACATACTTAATGATGTCTTGCATGGGGCGAAGAGTGGGGAAGAGGGAAAGGGAGGAAGGATACCCGAATTCCGCCGGGTACACATTATATATATATATATATATATATATATATATATATATATATATATATATATATATATATATATATATATATATATATATATATATATATATATATATGTCGTACCTAGTAGCCAGAACGTCGTACTCGGCCTACTATGCAAGGCCCGATTTGCCTAATAAGCGAAGTTTTCCTGAATTAATATATTTTCGCTAATTTTTTCTTATGAAATGATAAAGCTACCCATTTCATCGACCAGTCCGCCCACTAGCGAGCCAGTCGACCAGTCCGCCCACTAGCGAGCCAGTCCCCCCACCGGCCCATTAGCTAGCCAGTCCTCTTGCCGGCCCACTAACCACCCAGTCCTCCTGCCCACTCTCTAGCTAGCCAGGCCACCTGCCTACCCACTAGCAAGCCAGTTCACCTGCCCGGCCTCTTGCCAGCCAGTCCTCCTGCCCGCCCTCTAGCCAGCCAGTCCACTTCTGCCCGCCCACTAGTTAGCTAGTCCTCCTGACAGCCCACTAGCCAGCTAGTCCATCTGTACGCCCACTAGCTAGCCAGTCCACCGCCCAAACACTCTGTCCAACTAACCGTAATCCAGTACACCTGTCCGTCCACTTGCCAGCCAGTCCAACTAACCGCCCACTAACCAGCAAGTTCTCCTTATCTCCAACAAACCTTCTAGTCCATCTGCCCTTCCACTAGCCAGACAGTCCACCCTCCCAATCACTAACTAGGCAGTCCACCTCCCCGCCCATTTACAAGCTAGTCCACCTGCACGATCACTAGCCAGCAATCCATCTGCCCGCCTACTAGCTAGCCAGTCCCCCTGCAAGCCTACTAGCCAGCCAGTCCACCTGCCCGCCCAATAGCCAGCCTGTCCACCAGCCCGCACACTATCTGACCGCACACTAACCGGCCAGTCTACCTGCCCGCCCACTAGCAAGCCAGTCCACTTGCTTGCCCACAAGCATGCCAGTTCACCTGCCTGCCCACTCGCCAGCAAATCCACCTGCTGCCCTCTAATCAGCCAGTCCACCTATCCGCCCACTAGCTACCCAGTCCACCTGCCCACTTACTAGCCAGACAGTCCACTGCGCACCCACTAGCCAGTCAGTTCAACTCCCCGCCCACTAGCTAGCCAGTCTATCATCCCTCCCTATAGCCATTCAGTCCACATACCAGACCACTTGCCAGCCAGCCCACCTGCTGCTCTCTATCCAGCCAGACCACTTGCCCGTCCACTAGCCAGCCAGTCCTCCTGCCCGCCCACTAACCAGCCAGACCACCTGCTCGAAAACTAGCCATCCAGACCACCTGCCCGGCCACTAGCCAGTCAGTCCTCCGGCCTGCCTTCCCTCTTGCCAGATAGTCAACCTGCTGCCCACTAGCCAGCCAGTCCTACTACCCGCTCACTAGACAGCCAGTCCTCCTGCCTGTACTCTAGCCAGGCAGTCCACATGCTCGCCCACTAGCAAGCAAGTCCACCTGCCCGCCCATTATTAAGACATTACACCTGCCCGCCCACAAGCTAACCAGTCATCCTACCCTCCCTCTAGACAGATAGTCTAGACTCACAAGCCAGATAGTCCACCTGCCCGACCACTTCCCAGCAAGTCCACATACCCACCCACTGGCCAGCCAGTCCACCTGCCCGCCCATTAGCCAGCCAGTCCTCCTGCTCGTCCACTAGCCAACCAGGCAATCTGCCCGGCCACCAGCCTGCAAGTGCACCTGCCCGCCCACTAGGCAAACGGTACACCTGCCCGCCCACTAGCCATTCAGGCCTCCTGCCCTTTTACTAGCCCGCCAGAGTACCTGCCCGTCCATTAGACAGCCAGTCCTTCTGCCTGTCCACTAGCAAGTCAGTCTACCTGGCCGCCTACTTGTCAGCCAGTCCACCTACCCGTCAACTATCCAGCTTGTCTTCCAGACCATACTCGAGCCATCCACTCTACCTGTCAAGTCACTAGTCATTCAGTCCATTGGCTACTAGCCAGCCAATCCCCCTGCCCACGCACTAAACATTCAGCCCACCTGCCCGCCCACTAGCCAGCCATTCCGCCTGCCCCCCCCCCCCACTAGCAGGCCAGTCCACCTTCCAGCCTACTAAATAGCCAATCCACCTGCCTGCCCACTAGCCAGCCAGTTCTCCTACCCGCCAGGTCAGCCACCTACCAGGTCAGCTAGCCATCCTTTCTTCTTGCCCGTACACTAGCCATTCAATCCACCTGCCAGCCCACTATCCAGCCAATCCATCTACCCTCCAACTAACCATCCAGTTCACTTGCCCGCCCAATAGCTAAAGGAATCCCCCTGCCCGTGCACTTGGCAACCAGTTTACCTGCCCGCCCACTAGCCAGCCAGTCCTCCTGCCTTATCACAAGCCATCCAGTCCTCCTGCCTGCCCACTAGCCAGTCAGCTCACCTGCCAGCGCACTAGCCAGGGAATCCCCCTACCCACGCAGTTGACAGCCAGTCGACCTGCCCGCCCACTAGCCAGCCAGTGCTCCAGCCCTATCATTAGTCAACCAGTCCTCATGCCCTCCCACTAGCCAGCCAGTCTACCTGCCAGCCACTAGCTACCCATTCCACCACCCTGTCCAATAGTAAACCAGTCCACCTACCCGCCGACTAGCTAGCCAGTCCTGCTGCCAGCACACTAGGCATCCTGTACTACTGCCCGCCCACTAGACAGACAGTTCACCTGCCCGCCCACTAGCCAGCCAGTCCACCTTCCCGTCAACTAGTCAGCCTGTCTTCCAGCCAGTACACGAGTAATCCAGTCCACTTGCCCGACCACTAGCCATTCAGTCCGCCGGCCCGGCCACTAGCCATGCAATCCACCTGCCAGCCTACTAGCCAGCCAGTTCTCTTGCCCACCCACTATCCAGCCAGACCACCTCTTGAGCCACTAGCCACCCAGACCACCTTCCCGGCCACTAGCCACCCAGACCACCTTCCCGGCCACTAGCCAGTCAGTCCTCCTGCCTTCTCTCTTGCCAGATAGTCAACCTGCTGCCCACTAGCCAACCAGTCCTACTACCCGCTCACTAGCCAGCCAGTCCTCCTGCCTGTACTCTAGCCAGGCAGTTCACATACTCGCCCACTAGCAAGCAAGTCCACCTGCCCGCCCATTATTTAGACATTACACCTGCCCGCCCATTATTTAGACATTACACCTGCCCGCCCACAAGCCAACCAGTCCTCCTGCCGTCCCTCTAGACAATCAGTCCGCCTGCTTCCAACTAACCAGCCAGTTCTCTTGCCCACCTACTAGCCAGCCAGTCCTCTTGCCCACCTACTAGCCAATCAGTCTTCCTGCCCGCCCTCTAGCCAGCCAGACTACCTTCCCAGAACTAATCAGTCAACCACCTGTCACCATACTAGCTACTTAGTCCACCTGTCCGCCCACTAGCCAGCCGGTTCACCTTCTGCCTTCTTCCCTCTTGCCAGATAGTCAACCTGCTGCCCACTAGCAAGCAAGTCCACCTGCCCGCCCATTATTAGACATTCCACCTGCCCGCCCATAAGCCAACCAGTCCTCCTACCCTCCCTCTAGACAGATAGTCTAGACCCACAAGCCAGATAGTCCGCCTGCCCCACTAGCCATTCCGGCCTACTGCCCTCTCACTAGCCAGCCAGTGTACCTGCCCGCCCACTAGACAGCCAGCCCTTCTGCCCACCCACTAGACAGTCAGCCCTTCTGCACGCCCACTAGCAAATCAATCCACCTGCCCGCCTACTTGTCAGCCAGTCCACCTACCCGTCATCTATCCAGCTTGTCTTCCACACAGCATGAAAGTGGAAGATTCGGACAATTTCTTTATGAATGATATCCAAACACCTGTAAATATAACTGATATCAACATGAACGTAGCAGATTTTGAAAGAGAAATTGACAATATGTCCATGCACTCAGCCCCGAGTTCAGACTCAAGGAATTCAATATTTATAAAGAAATGCAATGTGCCAGTAGCACAGGCACTCAGTATAGTGTGGAGGAAGAGCTTAGACACAGGGGAGATACCAGATGTGCTTAAAGCAGCAGACATTGCCCCTCTACACAAGGGAGGTAGCAAAGCATTGACAAAGAATTATAGACCAGTTGCACTAATGTTACACATAATTTATTACAGTCATTAATCACGTATTTGAGAGAGTGATCAGGAGTCAGGTCACAAGATTCATGGAAACCAATGACCTCCACAATCCAGGCCAACATGGATTTAGAGCAGGAAAATCATGCCTCTCACAGCTACTTGACCACTATGACAAAATCACTGAGGTCAATGGGTATAACTGGTAAAGTAGGACGCTGGATACTCAATTTCCTGTCGAACAGAGCACAAAGAGTAACAGTCAATCAAGTAAAATCGAGTTCGAGAGCAGTTAAAAGCTCTGTGCCTTAAGGTACAGTCCTTGCACCACTGCTGTTCCTTATTCTCATATCAGATATAGACAAAAATACAAATCACAGCTTCGTGTCATCCTTTGCAGATCATACAAAAATCAGTAGGAAAATTACCTCTGCTGAAGACATTGATAAACTACAAACAGATGTTAAAAAAGTTTTCGATTGGGCAGCAAAAAATAACATGATGTTTAACGGTGATAAATTCCAGGTACTCAGATACGGCAAAAATGAGGATCTGAAACATAATACAGGGTACAAAACACAATCGAATCTGCCCATAGTAGGAAAACAGCATGTCAAGGATTTGGGAATAATGGTGTCCGACGACCTAACATTTAGGGAGCATAACCAAGCAAGTACTGCGTCAGCCAGAAAAATGATAGAATGGGTTACGAGAACCTTCAAGTCCAGAGATCTCATCACAGTGGTTGTACTCTTCAAATCACTTGTGTTGTCCCGT